TAAATGCAACAGAACTGTGGCTAAAAGCTAAATGTAGCAGAACTGTAACTATAAGCTGAATGCAACAGAACTGTGGCTAAAAGCTAAATGCAGCAGAACTGTAGCTATAAGCTAAAAGTAGCAGAACTGTAACTATAAGCTAAATGTAGGGTAAAAATGATGTCAACATAATAAAATTAAATATTAGTAAAAACAGAGATGATATTATTATGGAGCAGATAAAGCCAAGAACAGCAGCACAAACAACCATTTGTTTAATACAAAATATAAATGCAAACCTGCGGCACATAAGTGAGTTTGTTTTGGCTGCTCCCGTCTGCAGGGGTCGTCACAGTCGGTGATCTCACATAAAATATTTGTCAATATTTGTGCCCTTCCTGACTTAACCTGGGCTCGACCCAGCACCACCAGGATTACGAGGTACCACAGCTCCAAAAAACTACTGCACATATGAGACATACATTTAAAGGTTTATGTTGCATATATTAAGGATAATAAAAATTGGATGTCCATAAGCCTTTTGCACATAAAGAACTTATTTATTTATTTAACACGCACGTTGTTGGACTGAGGGAGGAATACCAGAAAAACCACACAAACACGAGAGGAACATGCTAACATGACACAGAAAGACCTCAGGTCTAAACTGGGGATTGAACCCAGGACCTTCTTTTCTGAGGCTACAGTGCTAACCACTAATCCACCAAGCTGCTCAAACAGAACTTTACTGAACGTACTGCATAAAACATTTTCACAAGGCTGGTGAGCTCTTCACTTTTCTTCAATTTCCCCTTAAAAGCAGCAAAGCTAGTGCTGCCCCTTTACATGACGTTACAATTACGTTGCTGGCCTATTGCCATGAAAGAAAACAAAGAAGACGTTCCGTTTAAGTGTAGTCAGTCTCTTTATGTGTCCAACAGAACTCTAAAGATTTTTTTGGATCTATATTCTAGAAAAAGAAATCAGTGCAAACGAGTTCTGTCTGTTTCCAGGGTGCAGAGGATCTGCACGAGTGTTTGTCTTTAACTGGACTACAGTAATGATCACTGATCTGCACTGAGGTCAGACCTGTGTCGATAAACAATAAATCAATTAATCACATGATAAATGAAAATTATCGACCTCGGTTTCATTTATCGGCTTTATCGTTTCTTAATGTCTCTCTCTTTCTACTGAAGACACTGGATGACAAAAGGCTCAACTCCGGTGCTCCTCACTGACTCCTCCATTTCTCTTTTCTCTTAAAATCTGTTTTAATCGTCCAAAATCACGTTTTTAGATTGTTAAAAGCAGCTAAGCTGAGAAGCTAAGCTACGAGCTAAGCTAACAGGCCCACCTCAGGAAAAATCATGTCTTGTTGAAGCTCACAAATTCACGGTCGAAACCCGTGCCTTCGTGTAAAAAGTTGTTTTTCCTCTGCAAAAATTAGCTGAGAACTTGTTTACTGATCTTTTATTAAAAGCTTTGCGTGAAAAATGCTAAACAGCTCAAACCACCAAGCGTCCGCCATTTTGAGAACCGAAAAACAGGAACGAGAGACAGCCCATGTCACGTCAAGGGGCCTCCCTCCCATTTTTATTAAAGAGATACGCTGCTCGCTCCCTCCCTATCCATCCTTCGGTTCAAACCGCCTTATACTGCCATCCAGTGGTCAAAAATGGTGCTACATGCAAATTAAATGAACCAACATTTCTTCTTTAATTTGACAATAATTACTAATTATTGTGAAATTTCAAACAATATTGTCGTTTGTCGCAATAATTTCTGAGACAATTAATCGCCCAGAAAAATTTGTTATCGAGACAGGCCTAATTTGAGGTAGGTGGTGAAAAATAACGAGAAAATGATCCTTTATCCCTGCCGGTGGAGAAAAAAAATAAAAATCTACGGTAGCTTTCTCTGTAATCACTCATCTCGTTTCTGGCAACAAAGACCAGCTGCCGTTGTTAACCTTTAGATCATGAAACAACCATTTGAACTGCAGCACAGCAGATTAGTAACGAATCCCGGTTAAGGTGGTACGAGCTGCGACCTAAGTTCACATGTCTGAACATCCAGAGCACAAGAAGGATTAAACGCTGGTGAACTTCACCAGGAAGTGCAGTAAATGGTTGTATTAAAGAACGGAGAGCAAAAAGACCAGAACACATATAAACTTTTTCATATTTATTTTGTGTGGGTTCTTTATTAATAAAAAAAAAAAATGTGTTCATATCTAAGAACACCACATATCCTCTGAGGCGTTGTCCTTTAGTCAGCAGTTTACCAAAGCCAAGAAAACCATATCAAGCCATTTAGAGATTTCTAAAGAGCTCTCCTGCGCACTACGTTCCTCAGAAAATGAGGCCAAACAAGAAAAGCCCACAGAGCCCCGTGCTTCTTCTGCCACATAAATCAGCGACTGAACGCTTTTCTCATTAGGTGCTCATGAAAAAATTAATCTAACTCCTTCTACTCCATGTCAGACTTTTTGCTTAAAACGTATTAAAATTCAGCTGATGGGATTCTGTGTTGTCAATTAGGCGTGGTTAGAATTTATCATGAAGACGGCTAAACTGGCAGGTGTAATTATGAGAAAGATTTGCTTTTCTTTTAAAAAACCATCCTGGTCACTCATCCAAAATGCAATTAGAACTGGAGAGACCTCGCTCACGCTGTGTGTGTTCATGGTGTCGATCATCTTTTTTAGGACATTTCTTGATATAATCACCTACTTTGTCAGGACTGGAACTCCTTACAGGGATCCAAACCTGGTCCGGACCCACGGAACGTAAGTTTTGGGTTAGAGTTTGGGTTTAGGTTAAAGTTAGACGTGTGCTGGTAATGGTTAGGTTTAAGGTAAGGGTCAGGGTTAGGCTACAGAAACATCTGGAAGCCAATGCAACGCTCAAACGTGAATAGAAGTAGAAACTTCTGTGTTTGGTGAGACGAAAACATTGTTTTCTGCAGCAAAGTAAGTGTTTAAAATTCCTGTTTTACACAAATGTTGTGATAAAACTGAGACTCTGTAATGACTTTAGAGCAATAATCCCTCTCCGGTCTTGCACGGCTGTTAAATATTGAATGCACATTGATCTCTTTTTCTTTTTCATGTCTGACTGAAACTGTGAAGAACGTCAATGGAGACGTGACTAAAGTTTAAATGGGCTGAAAACTGTGGTTTTAACACTAATTACACGTTTACCGAGGCGCAGATCTTTTTGTTTCGGCCGTTCCGTCTTCATGGATCGTCCTCCTCCATCTCACGCTGTCCTCACTCCAACTCCCTCCATGTCCAATCTAACTGCATCCACATATCTCCACAGCTGCATTTCTAACATCCTTCTACAAATATATCCACTGTCCCTCCTGTGGACATGTCCAAACCATCTCAGTGTGTCCTCTCTAACTTCATCTCCCAGTTGTTCAACCTGTGCTGTACCTCCGATGATCTCATTCCTGATCTTCTCCATCCTCGTCACTCCTAAGGAGAACATCAACATCTTCATTTCTGCCACTTCCAGCTCTGTCTCCTGTCTTTTTGTCCATGTCTCTGTCTCCAGACCAGACAACACAGCTGTTCTCACCACTGTCTTGTAAACTTTTCCTTTGACCTTTGCTTTAATTCAGATATGCTTTGTAGAGCAGAGGTGAAAAAAACAGAAGGAAGACGTTTATTTCTGTCGTTGAAAGTCTGAATAATAAAATCTATGGACTCCACTCAATGTACTCTGAGGACACGTATCACATAAACACCTGATTGGTAATGGAATGGTTAATTATTGTTTTTATTTCTGTCTTCCCATTTTATTTCTGCCCAAAATTGTATTGAAAAGGTTTCACTTCATCCAAATCGGCAGGTCAATAACAAAAGGCTGCTTCCTGTCCACACTCTCAGTAATTAGATTAAAAGAAGAAACCTGGCCGGGGGAGCTGCAGAGGTGAGCTCGCTCAGTGTCAAACTTGATTTAGGAGGCTGCGAATTGAACCAATTAGCCACTTTGGAAGCAGATCAAACTGCGAACTTTGCCTGAAAAAAAAAAGGCAGATCCTGTCCAATTAACAGAATTTATGGGCAAAGCTCCAGTGAGAGGTGATGAGGTGATTTGTTGGGTGTTCTGTTAAAACTAATGCAGCTGCTGACATTTGACTCAATGAGGACGATGAATTTAAAGCGACAAGAAGTGACTCGGACGTTTTTCATTTTAAAGTGATGCTGCAGTTATTTAATCTGTCTCCACACACTGTGCATAATCTGAACGTAGGGCTGTAATTTAGACCATTTTCTATATTCTGGTGTGTGGGGCTTACTGGTGCGCAGGGCCGAAGGCGTGACTTCGATCTCGCTGGTGACCTGGTAGGGCTGAAAGGCTGAGGCCCCGCTGCCGGCACTGAGGTCCACAGCAAAAAGGTCAGGGCTCTGCGTCCCCGTAGAGCTGGCGCTGGTGCCATCGCCTCCATGGTGGGGCTCCTGTTCCTCATACACCGCTATCAGCTGGAGGAGATAAAAAGGAGACAGACCGTATGAGAATGGATTTGACTTACTGGTACATAAACTAGGGCTGAACATAATGTATCGTCATTGTCAAAGTGTGCAACATCACAAAGGATCGCAAAAAGGGAAGGACGTAACGGAGACCAGAGGCGCTCAAACTTGTCACAACAGATTTTCTCTCAGAATGTTCATTACAGGCGTCTCAAACCCATTTCCGTCGCACAAAACCTATAACTTGACACGTGCACGATAGATTTCCTCTGACAGAAAAGATGGTTAGGTCTAAAAATCATGCGGATGAGGATTATAAACAAGAGTACACATTAAACGCTCGTCGGCAAACTATTTTACAGCAATGCAGCTCACAGACAAACCAAAAACATGTATGACCTTGATTTATGACCTTGACCTTAGAGCCGGGGTAATGGAAAGATTATGCAACGCACGGTCTAGTGCTGGTTCAAATGTGTATCGAGTTTGGTTAAATTATCCTGAACAAATCAGAAGTTATGTTCTGGGCGAGCAAATACTTTGTGTCAACTATGACCTTGATTTGTGACCTTGAGTTGGGGTGATTAAAAAAGTATATGCAAGATACTTTATTACTCCCAGGAGGAAATTTGAGGCATCCAGTGGCATGTTGTAATTATACAGAGAAAAGACATGAAATAAAGAAAAAAGATGAATACAATAATTTTGAAAAAGAATTTCCACATGCATACGGTGGTAGGGAGTACTACATTCATGATTCATCTATATATTTATATATGCCACACATACATGCACATCTAAGCATAAATATACATGTACAGTAGTCCGTCGCTACTTCACAGTTCAACTTTCGCGGACTCGCTCTTTCAATGTTTTTCAAAGTAAGCTCGGACATGACGCAATTGGCTGATTGATGGATGGATGAGCCACACGAGCAACATGGATTGTTTATTTAAAATAAATTATTTAAAATGATTTAGCACCTGTGTGCAGCCCACAGGTGAAGAGAGAACCTCCTTCCTGCAGCGTGTCATGATCTTCGCTCTCTGCCACAGATTACAGTGGAGAAGTGGGCGTGGCCAAGAATGCGGCCAGTGGCAGAGAGCGGAGATCATGACATGCTGTGCTCTTTTAGAGCGTTTAGAGTCTAGAAACATTGTCTAGAATATTGCAAGAGTGTGGGAAGGGTTTAAA